TCCCTCCTTGAATGGTTATAAGATAAGAGCAGGAGTTAGCTATAATCAAATGTCTTATGTTCTCTCGATTAGAATATTGTTCGATTTTGACAGCGAAGTCCTAGGCAGGAGAGATATTAGACCTGGAGAAGGTACGAAGATTGTTTAGCACTCGAGTCAATAAAGCTTCTCGATTACGGGGAACGCCTCAGAATGTACTAGGAATGTACTTTGAAGAGAGGAGAGATGTTTCGGAGACCCTAGTTCCAAATTAATACGCTACCATACAACGTACTGGAGTAAGAGACAAAAGCAGGGAAGTTACGGGCACAATAGTGAACTGTGTCAACATGCGTGGCCCAAGACTATCATCCTGCTGAAACTGGAAAACCAGCAGTTTCCACGTGATGGTGTACATTTTGAATGGCTGTAGGCAGTCATTCAAAATAGTTGAAAACTCCTCAGTGTATATAGTCTGTGTTGGGACAAAATATACGAATATGTGAATAAATCTGATTCTATCTTGTTCCACGGGCGTTATATGGTCCATAAGGGTTGAGTGTTAATCAGGAAACTATATAGTAATATTAACCTGGTACCAGCAGATGTCAGAAATATTGCTGGAACAAACGTAGAAGTGTTCAGGAAGAAACTAGATCATTACCTCCAATAAGTGCCACACGAACTAGGCTGTTATGGGGGTGGAAACCCCAACATCCTCGTTGAACAGGCGGTTTTAAGTTTTCATATCTTCGGGCTGCGAGGATATGAAAATTTAAAACCGGGCACCTGCATAGAGCACAAGCACCTAATAATTAACTCATGCAGGATCCGATTTCACACAAGGTAATGAAATCTAGCTAATAAACTCAAACTGAATCATTACTAGCTCATTCTCAGTAAGCTGCACGTACCTTAGCTTGTGTCCCCAAAGTCTAGTAAATGCAGAATAATCCACGGCACTAAATGTTAATGACACCAGAGAGGAGCGTCACACCAGTGCAGGTAGAGCGGTCACAGCAACAGGTTACAAGGCTGAGTTAGTGGAGACTGGCCCTTCACCCAGCTGGATGTTGCCGCAGTGGGGAGCACGCAAGTACCCCCACCCCCTTCCTTCCTTCCTTTCTTTCCACAAGTCATGGAATAGGTGGGGGCTTGAACCCATGGCAAGTGTCCTAAAATGCACAGGCCAGTTGGCTCTAGGAAGATTCCTCCAACTAGGTATATTTCTTTGCCATAGGGAGGTTAACATTGGCTCCACTGACTTTTTTTTAGATTAACACCACACCATCGTGGTTGTGACGTCTCTTCAAAGCCACCATTTGTTTGGAATCGTGATATTACGATTTCGTGATTATAATCATGGGGGAGCGCTAAACCTGCAGGATTTTACAGAGCACGTGGGGGGGGGGGGATGAGGGATGGAAGGTATCCAGGCTAAATTCAGGGAACAGGAGCAGAAATCCAGTTCCCTACATCAAGAGCCTTTCACCAGCGTCAAGGAACCTTCCTTGGGGGTACGATTTCGTGAGAAGAGCTAGATTTTGCAAAAGCATGCAAATTTTTCCCACACTCAAAAAGGGGTTTTTTAGATTGTAAAAATTTCCTTTAAAGGGCCCCTTTAACCACAGGGAAAATCATCTCTTAAAAGGTGTAGAAGCTTCCCAAAAAATTTGGGACTAAAACCCTATGGGAAAAGTCATATGCCCTGGAACGATTTTATTATAATAAAAAGACTTCAGATTTAGCAGGGAAAGAGTCCTTTGTCAAAGCAGTCCCTCCCTCACCAGCCCAAGGTAGGTGTAAATGTAGTTTTATGGTTTCCTTTCAGATAAATAGGGGAACAAAGGGAATTTCGGCAGGGCCGGATACCGCTAGGCAAAACTAGGCATTTGCCTAGGGCCCCGTGCATTTGGGGGGCCCGGGTCCAAGGGATTCAGGGGCCATCCCAAAATGCCAATGGTGCAAGTGAAAAAGGGGTCCCTACCTAAAAAGTTCAAATGTTTGGAGAGTAAAAAAGTTTTTAAAAAATTTAAACAAAACAAAAATAAATAATGAAAAAAAAATAAAAAAAAAAATAAATAAAACCCAACCATAGAGGGGAAACCTCAAAAACCCCTTTGTTTACTCAGAAAAAGCTGTGTTTTCCGCAATGGTGGTATGGAGATTCCCCTCCCAAATTTTTTGTAGTAATTTCCGTTATCTAGATTGTACTGTGACAAATTAACTAAGTGTTTTTGATAGACTTGATGTGTTGGATAAATGTTTGTTTTCGCCTTTAATGTTAAGGGAGCTACTGATAGGGTTACTTGACCAGTAAAGACGCATGGACCAGTAAAGAGCATGGAACCAGTAAAGACGCATTTTTGGTTAAAAACACTATAAGATAAACCCTAAAAACGCAAACTGATTCCGTTTGTAGGTTTTAAAAGCCTTGTCCTGTCTTAAGCCTTTTCATTTCAATAACAGATCTCAAATTGAGTGATGTTTACATCACTTCCGTCGCAAATGCTTATTTTTTAAGTTGTGACGGAAGTGATGTAGAACATCAATTAATTTACTACTTTTTCTCCAGAAACACAAGCGAACATTAGAAATCGTTGGTTGGAGTGAAACTGAAAATTGTCCCTGCATTCTTTAATTTATGTCCTATCTTGGTGGTAGGCATGATCATGCACAAAACATAATGATTAGTTTTAGTTAATTGGAAATTGGTAATAAAATACATTGGCCTTGTTCTTGGATCGGTTATGATTTCTGTTTTAAGTAATTGGAGATCAAGGAGGATGAATTATAAAATATTCGTAGCCAAATCACTAACCTAATCTATTGGGTAAAAAGGTTCTGTAATGACTCCTTTCTGGTAACGTTTTTGATTTTTGAGCGCAGCCAGAGGAAAGGGGGCTACCAAGGGCCATATCCCCCCAATTGACATGATACAGGACAGTGATACATTCTATTTATGGCATCACGTGAACGTGATTGTTGGCGTTCTTATGCGAGTGGGTCACAGAAAAGAAAGAAGAAAATTCTAGAAAGAACAGAAAAAGAAAGATGTGGAAGTGCAGAAAGATTCCCAGACATGCTCACGAAAAGTTTCTGATGTTAACCAGTACAGTTGAATATGCAGATACGTCAGATCATACAGGGACGCCCTCCCTCCTTATTTCTCAGACCAGCATCTATTCTTTGTGTCTCTCAATGTATCACGGACATTTCATCCACTGGATTGTCTTAAAAGATCTTCCTCATGGCCAATATGTAATCCCAGATCTCTACGTAATGCTTTCATTGCAGAAAGAAAAACTTCAGTAAACTACTTGAACATTGACTTTAGGGGAAATCAGCATGGATTTTATGATGATGGGAAGTCGTCGTTGTTTAATGTATCTATGTTTTTATTGGAAGTTTGGAAATTCAGAAACTGTGAAATGATTCATGGATGGTATCCTCTAAAGCTAGGAAAGTGTACTTGTTCAGATGCAAGCTATTTTCTACAAAGATAATACCTTCACACTAGGGGATTCAATGATGGAAAAATTTCAAGCGTTTCGAGGAACATGAAAACAGACCACTCAGGAGCTGCATTTTAGCCGTGTATTCGTGCACAGAAAAAAAAAAAGGCTTAATGGATTTCATTTGGAAAATCAAAACTGAAAAAGTGCGCACTTATTTGGAGAAAAGTTCTAAGACGAAGTTGTTGCTGTTGTAAAATTCTTAGCTCTAAGAGGCTTGCTTTCGTGGAGAAAATGAGGTTTTTGGTTCGGAAAAACGACGGCAATTTCCTAGGGATCATAGATATGTTAGCACAATTCGATCCATTCTTAGAAATCATGTGTCACCCTTGGAGAATGCAGATGAGGCACTGTGTATTACATGTCATTACGATATGCAATGTAATTTATTGAACTGATGACGAAGGTGTCTCAATTACATTATATTAAATCAAGGGGAGGAAGCGCTAACGGAGGATTTACAGCGCCTGGGGGGGGATGTTATGGAAGGATTTCAGGCTTAATTCGGGTGGAACTGGAGCGACAGATCCAATTCCCTTAAATCATGAGCCCCTCACCAACAGCAAGGAACCTTCCTGAGGGGAATAACATAATAACAGCTGTGAAAACTGCAAAATACTTTGCAATAAGTGTAGATTCAACACCAGATTTTTCACATACATATCAATTAACTGGCATTGTTCGCTTTGTCGACTCCAGTGGTAAGTGTTGAGCGCTTTATAAAATCATTCCTCTTTCAGGGCCATGTGGAGAAGAAACAATGTGAATGTAGTATGGATACTTGCTTGAACATCTCTTATTATGGATTACCGTGGCCAGAGCTACGACAATGCAAGTTACATGTGGGTTAAATATAATGGTTTGGCAAGCCCGTATCAAGAAATCAACCCATTGTGAATATGTGCCCTGCTCAGCACATTTCTTAATGTCCTTGTTGGGTCATGTGCTGCGGAGTGTTGTGTCGCTGCAGTTTCATTTTTTGGACTTTACAAGCGCTCTTATTTTTTCTCTGCTTCATGCATCGGTGAGTATACTTCAAGTCACCATTCATGGAGATGTCATCAAATCATTATCAAACAACAAGGTGGTCGCACAGCATTGATGCAACCACATGCTTGAAAGAGGCTTTGCTGAAAAATAAATACGTTCTGCTTGATCCAAATAGAAGGGAGGATGAAGCACAGACAGCAAACTACAAGAGCGAAGCAGCAGCTTAGCATCATAATTGGAAGATTTTGATTGGCCTTACTCTGTGCGCTTTGGGCCTGTATACTGGAACGGTTAAATGCACGAACAAGACACTTCAGATTATTATTATATTTTTATTATTAGTATTTATTTTATCAAGGGGGAGGGGTAAGCGCTTAAACCCGGAGGTTATACAGTGCCTGGGGGGGGAGGGGATGGGGAAGGCATTCAGGCTTAATTCGGGGGATCTGGAGCTCAGATCCAATTCCCTAAAATCAGAGCCCTCACACATCAAGGAAACCTTCCTTTGAGGGGAAGTCACTTCAGAAAATTGAAATTGAAATGGCTCTTGGCTAACCTCTATACAGGATTATGGAATTTTTGTAAGCTCACTTCGCAATGATGAAGCTTTGGAAATGTTTGAAGAGAAAAGTTAAACTGCTGCGTTAAAGACTAGTTACTGGGATGATCATCAAGCGGTCAAGGAAGTGGAAAGCAATTTTGAAGTGCTGCCAATGGAAAATGTGTTGTCTACCATGGCAGAAATGTCAAGACAGAACTACAGAACTTCGTCATTCTGGATTCACGATACAGATTGGTGAAAAGAAAAGATATCTACCAGAATCTCATGACCAAGTTTGGATTTCTGTTCACAATATTACTACTATGCCAGATGGCAGAATGAGAGAAAGAAGCTGCATTATTAAAAGTTGCAACAACACTTTCAGCAGATTGTTCAGGACACATTTGTTGAAGAAATAGTTTCATTTTTGGGTATATGAATCAGAGTTAAAGCTCCACCTGAAAAATGTGCACCCTCAGCTGTTTGAAATTTAAGAAATGCTGGTATCTCAGAAACCTTCCCTAATGTTAACAGTGTTATCCGCCTTTACCTAACATTCCAGCTACTAACTGTGATGAACGTTCATTTTTTCCGGTTTTGAAAAGAGTGAAAAAACCAGAGCTCCGTTCAAACAATGAGCCAAGACCAAATTGTGTAACCTAGCCTTGTTGACCTTTGGTCTGATCTAACAGAAATATTTTGATTTCAGATGATTAATTGATGATTTTTGCCCAATTATGAAATCAAGAAAAAAGTTTAAATTTCTGATGTGCTGATGAATTTAAACAATTTTTGAGTTTATATGATTGATAGTCTATGCTTGTTGCTTTAACAAATAATGGTCAGTGATTTTATTAAAGGGAATATGTGCTTATATTGGTTATGCGATTATATAGTTACATGTCACTACTTTAATAGACTACTCTAGTAATTACTATGCTGTCTTGAGTTTTATTCTTTAAAATGCATGATTTATTTAACAAGAGGTTATAATGGCTGTT